GTTGGTACCTGCCATTTGCCGGACTAGTCACACAGCACCTGCTTGGCCCGCCCCTGGCCCGCCCTCGGCGGGTGCAAAGGCTCCCGCAGGCCGCCGGAGAGCGGGGCCGGCAGGAGCCCACCTGAAGATGCGCCCTGTGGCTGCCGGTGAGTGCGCCCCCGCTGCGGGCACAGAACAAGGGGCCCAGGGACCAGCCGCGCTGAGCCAGGAGGGTGGGGCCAGCCAGGGCTGGTCACCCCATGGACGGGCGGGGGCGGTAATCAGGAATGCGGGTACCAACACAGAGGGGGTGAATAGGCTGGGCCTCCAAGCAGGGTGCTCCCAAAGGGGGTGGCTGGGAGGAGGGGTATGCAATGGAATAGCGGGATCAGCGAGAGGGACACTTGACTGGAAAGTGGGTGAGCCCAGGCAGAGTGCACCTGCCCAGCCCCAGCACAGCTCCGTCCCCAAGGCCTTCAGGGCCCTGGATCTTTAGCAGGAAGGGGAGGGGGCTGGCAGGGTGGCTGAGAAGGCAATTTTTATTTCTCCATTTTTCAAACTACTTGATACTGTAGGAGATTTGGGCTAACTAGGGGAGAACGCCTTACTTTCAGGAGGCTGTTAATCTCTTAAAGCCTGTGTCCAAGCATTTGCTTGTTAGGGGACATTTTCGGTCCTGGCTGGAACAGCCTCTGTCCACTGGCCCTTCCTGCCTGGCTTCAGCACCTCTTACAATCTGAGCAGCTGGGTTCCTCCTGGAGTGAGGCATCTGTGTCTTGTTCAAAAACAGGAAATTCCTAAGGGGAAGGCTCCTTTGGTGAGTCACTCCCCACCCCCTGGTGTCAGTATCTCCAACTCCTGCTGTGAAGGGGCAGGTTTAATGTGTAGTCTCCTTTGCACAGAGTTTTGGCAGTGGTCCCGCTTCAGGAAGTTCTAAATGCTGCCTTTTCCACACCATTCCCACATATAGGAAAGTCAGACAAATTGTAAGATTTTTTACTTATTGTGCAAAATAGTTGCGTTTTTTTTAGCGACTGTTATGAGCAACACTGTTTTTGATCACTGGTGTGGATTATAAGGCACCAGCTTTCACTGTAGCTGTTCTGGAAGAATTTTTTCCATTATTTCTATATTGTATGATTATAATAGTCTCTGAGTACTGGCAGGTGGTTTTTCCTCACCCGTAACTTTCCACACCGAGACCTCAAGATTCATTTGTGTGTCGCAGGCTCCTTTGCTGTGGAGTCTGGTTATATGTGGTGGTGGGAGAAGATGCCTGCAGATGGTCAGGGCTACAGCACTGTTGATTTTGTGAGCTATCGATGTGGGGACATTCTAGGAATCGAGGTCTAGGTATGGACCTTGTCCTTGACACTCCAGTCCACTGCCAGGTCTGTTCCCTGTAGATAGCTTGCAGGAAGGATATTCCGACTGGATGGATAGAGTAAGTTCAGCTGCCCATGCTCCTGGGCCCAGGGACCTTCTCATTCCCCAGTGCGGTGTTGGTGGGTGGCCCTTCAGGATGGGTTCTGTAGCTTGCTTGCTGTGGTGTTCCAGAGTGGCCCTTCCCAGCCCTCTTGCCAAAAAGCCTCAGTGGACCGGACATGATGGCCGTGGACACTGACGCCAGCAGAGCCTGGAATCCACAAGGCAGTGAGTCCCAAAGTAGGGTCTGTGCATTCTGAGACCCCTGCCTCTCAAGTACAGGGGTGTGGCTGCCTCCGTGAGGATACAATCTGAATGCATACTGCTGGCAAGGCACCAGTGACAGCAGCCTCCCTGCCCTTGTCCCAGCTAAAGGAGTCCTGTGATCAGAGTGTGTCCTGTGGGTCCAGAAGTGCCTTCTTCAGTTGGTCCCTGGATTGGAGGGATGGGAGTATCCTATGGTCCCCCTACCTGCAAGTGGGGTGGTATCAGTTGAGTTTAGGACTGCTTTTCTTTCCTAAGGAGTGAAGTGTCCAGGGCCCACCTGAGACCCCCATTCTGAGCATGGGGGTCAGGCAAGGACACGTTTGTGCAGGCAGGCCACGTCACACGCAGATGCACTGCAGATTCCCGCCTGTGCTCTCACACTCGCTGCATCTGCCAGGCAGCAGGCACATGGGCACATGTTCCAGGAGCCCGTGATGACTTTATTACCTTGTCAGGGAAGGATGGTTCAGGTTACAGGATCACAGAACTGCTCTTGGACTCTGTACTTTCTCCTCCACCTCTGCAGCTTCTGGAGTTCCTCCCTGGGCTCCCACCTTTCCCAGGAGGAAACCTCCCCCTGGGTCCCAGCCCAGCTGAGCTCTGAGGGACAGGCTGCCTCGAGTCCTGCCCACTCTGCCTGCCTTCCCAAGAACTGACCTTCTGTTGTAGGTATCCAGCCGAAGAGGCACTGCCCAGCTTGCCTGATACTGTGCTGTGAGCTGGATTGTGGTCTCTCCCCCCAAATTCCCTTGTCCCCGCACCTCAGAACATGACTGTATTTGGAGGCAGGGCCTTAAAGAGGTGATTAAGGTAAAAAAATCTCATTAGGGTGGCCCTGACCCCATCTGACTGGCATCCTTACACATAGAGGAAGAGGCAATTAGGGTCAGGCACCCAACAGAGGGTGACCCTGTGAGACAGAAGGAAGAGATGCCCTCTCTAAAGAAACCTAGTCCTGCCAACACCTTGATCTTGGACTTGCAGCCTCCAAAATGTAAGAAGACAAATTTCCATGTTGAAGCCACAGTTGGTAGGAGGCTCTAGGAGATGAATCACTCTGCCTGCCGAGATTTTGTGTGTCACCTTCTAGCTCCTGGGTCCTGCTCTGCCTCTGTGGCTGGGATACCTCTGTGACTTTGGGCCACACCTGCCAGTCTGGCACCTCCCCACCCACATGCACCCCATCTCCTGAGGGCAGGCTGTCCCCGCACCTGCTGGGGATCTGCCTCCCACGCTGGGGGAGGTTGTGGCTCTAGGTCTTGGCTTCTCCCAGCTAGCCACACGCTGCCACAGGACACCGCACATCCCCGGCCTGGACAGCACACTTTCTAGTCTTCCTGGGAGCCCTGTGGCGTGTCCAGGACGGGAGCACCATTGTCTCACGGGATGGGCGGTCTGGCGGCGCACCTGGCTTTTTGTGTGCTCTCCATTTTCTCCCCTCTGACTTGCACCTGTCTATTTTTGTTCAGGTGGGGACAAAGTCACCGTCCCTCGGTGAGCTGGGCTTTGCACATTCTAAAGGTGGTACGCTGACCTTTCAGTCCTAATCCCAGTTAAACTGCAACTCGTTGCTCAGGCTCTCAGGGTTACGTGTTGTCCGGAAGATCCTCTGAGAATCCTCTGGTTAGGCAATTTTCTTCCTTAAATATTATGCTTAGATAAAACCTCCAACGGTCGGGGCGCAGGGTACAGTGCAGTGGGCTGTTGTTGCCTTTGATCATGCTCTGTGGCTCTCCTAGCACACCATCCACTCTGTTCATCCCACAGAATTTTCTGGAACATCATGTGGCCCATTCACTGTCCTGGGCATGCAGACATGGTCCTAGAGAGTAGGCTGTGGGGGGCCTGTGCAAGGCTGCGGGGAGCAGGGCCACCTCCAGAAAGAGGAGTGAGCAGCAAAGGGGCTGCTGAGACCCCCTCTCATTTTGTTTTCTGATCCTGCTTTATCCTATGTTGAGACATGGTTGGGCTGCCTGGCAGCGCCCAGCACCAAGCTGTTCCCAGCCCCAGTGTGTTGTCTGTCTCCAGGTGCTTTCAAGGCTGTGTTCCTCATCTTTGCATCTGTGTGTGCCTGGTATGCGGGGTACCTGCTAGCAGAGCTCATTCCAGACGCATCCCTGTCAAGCGCTGTCTATAACCTCCGCAGCATTGGAGAGAAGCCTGTCCTCAAAGGTAAGCTCCACGGTCCAGCCCACGCAACTGTCAGAAGAGGCGTGAGTGCAGTCCCAAACTCTGCTCTGTGCCATCTGATGGGTCTCTGTGCTGAGGAGGAAGAGGGGGAGGCAGAGGAGGAGGAAGGATGGAGGGAGGAGGAGAGGAAAGTGCTTTGCAGAGCGGAACACTTAAGCCTGACCATGACCCCCTGGGCAGGCTCAGCTCTCCGTGACCCTATCTTAGATGTGGATGGTGTACCCTCAGGTTCTCAGCCATAATCCAAACCTGCTGCCTGACCCTGAACTATCCTCTTCCAGCCCAGCCCTTGGCTTCCTCCTGTTTGAAACACAGGAGGGGCCTAGGCCCTAAACTCTGGAATCATTTTTAAGTTTCTAAAGGACTGAACAGCATTTTGAAAGTGATCTGTAAGTTGGCTGGGCGCGGTGGCTCACACTTCTAATCCTAGCACTCTGAGAGGCAGAGGCAGAAGGATCACCTGAGGCCAGGAGCTCAAGAGAGAGTCATCTGTAAAGTCTTAGAAAGCAAAAGGAATAATGTATTGGGTGTGCGAGAAACGTCAGGTGCTGAGACAGCATCTCTATCAGTGATGGGACTGCCCAGAAGGACCGTCAGCTTAGGAGAGGCTGAACTCTGCTTGGGGCCACCCTCTCTTCTACCCCAACTCCAGTGCCCACACCAAACACTGTCCAGGAGCCTTGGGGGGGGGGGCAGAGAACACGCACCTGCCCCTCTGTCACTGGCATCCTAGTGAGGGGAGATGACTGTGAAAAAGGAGCAAATGTGCTTTGAGATAGGATGGTGAGGGCAAGGCTCTGAGAAGCTGACCCGTGAGGAGAGGCCTCAGCAGAGCAAGGCAGCGAGGGCTGCATTTCTGAGGGTGGCCTGCAAGTTCAGGGTGGAGCACAGTGTCTGAGTCCATCCAGGCTGACATAACAGAATGACGTGGTCTGGGTGACTCAGAAACAACAAACACATATTCAGCACAGTGTGGGAAGGTGGGGAGTCCAAGACCAAGGTGCCCACAGATGCAGTGTCTGCTGAGGGCTGCTTTCTTTCTTTTTTTGTCTTTTTGAGACAGCCTCAAGCTGTCCCCCTGGATAGAGGGCCGTGGCGTCACAGCTCACAGCAACCTCCAACTCCTAGGCTCAAGCTATTCTCTTGCCTCTGCCTCCCGAGTAGCTGGGACTACAGGCACCTGCCACA